ATAAATAAATAAATAAATAAATAAATAAATAAGCAAGCTTTTTGAAGAATTAGAATCAGAAAATGTACGTTTGCTATGAGAACCACAGCTCTGCAGGAGGAGAAAATTCAAAGTGCGTTATAGATAGTGTTCCTTTAGAATAGCAAAATTTACACATAGATAGGCTTTGTGTATAGGCGACTTTTGTACAGGTGGGAAAATGTGATTAAAGTACGAAATTGTTTGGTACAAGGTATTTTTAAAATTCAAGCTGAATTTTTTTCTGACTTTTTTGAAGACCTCTGTGTTTCCTTGGACATGCTTTCCGTAAGCATTCTTTTGTAAGCATCTTATATGATTAACTTTTGTTTTATAAATTACAGCATATTTATTAAAACTGTTAATTGGGCAAGTTTGGAGCCAGGGTTATTTTAGCATATCTTTTTGAACATGGTCATTTTCATTCTCATTAGTTCCCAGTGAGTTGTCTATACTTGCCGTGGTGCTTTACCTGCAAATATTATAGATTGTAAGGGAAATGTTAAATCCTGTGTGGGAGAGCTCTCAGCCGTCTCTCCCCTTAACCTTCCCAAGATTCCCATGAACGTAACTGCAGCTTTTAGGACAGCTAATCTGTGGACAGTTAGAATGACCAGGGGCAGGGACCCTACTATAAGCATTATAAAATTCAATTGCATCTAAAAGTTGAAAGAGTCAAAAGACATATTTTTAAAAAGGTTATTATAGCATGCACCTTACTTTTTCTCGTAGACCGGTAGTTTGCAAGGCTTTTGTTTTACAGTGGTGGTCTATATCCCTTTGACCAGTGGCATGCTGTACTTGACAGTTTCCTGACGCTCTGGCACAGCGTGTCAAGCTCCAGCAAATGCCCTTAGCACAGTAACAGCAGGCAGAACGGAGGCCCTGCGAGGAGACAGAGGCCTCTGCACAGGGAAGCTCTTGTCAAGCGCCCACCCTTTTCCAGGCCGGATGGAGACTTGTACTCAGTCGCCACAGTTCCTATTCGAGGTTGGGTAGCAGCAGTAGTGGGTATAAATTTCGTTCCCCACTCCCCTGCCCCTCACCCTCAAAATCCCAGAAGGTGCTCCCTGTTTCCTCACAAAGGTCGCCTGGAGGATACTGTCCTTCGTGTGTTGGACAGAGTGACGCCTGGCGCCGCTGGAGCAGGCTCAGAGCTGCGAGGGTGGAGGGCTGTGCTCTTGTTGCCCGCCCAGTTGCTCATCTCAGACTGCACACGCTGCGGTCCCTCATTCCATTTCCCCAGAATGCTGACCGAGCAGTCGTGTAAAAGCACAAGTACTGGATTCCTTGGCTCAGTGTCTTATTCCCCTTGAGGGCACCAGCACAAATGTGCCCGGTCCTATAGGCCTGTACAAGGTGTTCTGTGCTCCATGCTACGGGGTGATTAGACAGTGAAGGTTTTAAACCAAGAAGCAAGAGCAGAGGGGGAAATACGTGAATGACAGGTTCGCTCAAGGGCAGACCAAGGCTTTGGGGACTTCTCTGTGGAGTGCGCGCATGGCTCAGGAAGTGAGAGGGAGCCAATGGATGTGTCGTCCTGCGAATGGAGGCTGATTTAATGACCTCAAGGTCAAGCTTAAAGGTCATGGTCAGTGATGAGGTCGCCAAAGCTGAGGTGGGTTGAGAGAGGAGAGGGAGGCACAGAGAGGAGGAGGCCTTATCTGGACCTGGCGGCCTCCTTGGCGTGTCTGCAGGGCAGCTGTGGGAGAGGCTGGTGCCGTCGGGAGAAGTGGCAAAAGTCGGGAGCTGGTTTTGGCAGAGAACTGTCGCGGATGGAAATGCAGGGAGGTAGGGCATGGGTTTAGGTGCTTACAGGCTCGAGGTGTTCCTGCCGCTCAGGTGCACGCATGCCATCAGACAGCAGCAGAGATGGTGCTTGGAAACGAGGCTGTGGCAGAAGAGCAGGAGCACTGTGACCTTGGCTAGAGTTGGGATGGGTCACGGGGAGGTCCCAGTACAGAATATTCCTAAGAAGCAAAGGGACGAGAGAGCCAGGTGCAGCTGTGTCCTCATCTTGGTGGAGAGTGGTCTTAAAAAAAGCTTCAACCAAATGTTAGAAGCCAAATTGTAAGCTGCGAAGGTTTGTAGAAGGCTAAGATCGCCTTCCAGAAGTTGGTCGATTCCAACAGAGTGTAAAGGCAGCCCAGAGTCTGTGGCAGCAGCAGGGTTGTTTAAGAGTGTAATGTAGCCAGTCTGTTGTAGACTCTAAGCCAAAGAGATACTGAGCTGTACTACTCAGGGGGGACCGAGGAAGAATGGAAACTGAGGGATGGATGGCTCAGGGAATCAAGATGGACATCCTCGTTCTTCCCCTGTGTGCTCTCACGTCCAAAGTCGACGTGTCACCCTTCTTCCTCTGTGAGGATGTGTTGCAGGTTTGGTTGTTTTAACCCTGGCTATTGTAAATATTTCTTCTTCAGGTTGAATTAAAGAAGCTACATTTTTTTCCAAATAATTGGTGTTATTTTTCTGATCAGCCTGTCTGTTTATTTGCCAAGCACAGAATACAATGTAGGCTTCTCTGTGTCCTTGAAACAGGGGTGAATTTGCTGGTGGGAACAGAGAGTGGCCTGATGCTGCTGGACAGGAGTGGCCAAGGGAAGGTCTACCCCCTGATCAACCGAAGGCGGTTTCAGCAGATGGACGTGCTTGAGGGCCTCAACGTCTTGGTGACGATATCTGGTAAGTGTTTAGTAAAGCAGAGTGTGAGACACTATTTAAAAATATTTTAGCCTTACTCCCTGAACTTCAGTGAGCATGTTCTCTGATGTGCAGGCTACATGAGAAGCTGCTGCATCACATTTTACAGGCATGTGGGAGAAGACATATTCACATGTGCCAGACGTGTGCAGCCTTGGTCTGGGGTGTCCTTGAGAAGCCCAAGCACGGGTGCTTTTCCATACTGCCCACCCTCTCTGCCCCTGTGGCTTGTTGAGTTTCATTTGCCCCGTCCGGTGTGCAGGTCTGTGTCCACTCTCACTGGACTCCTTTACAAGCAAAAGGAACTATTTTGCCATTCTTGTTAAAGTATTTATTTTCTTATCCCTGTGTCAGTTTACTACTTAACATGGCACGTTTCTTCTTTCAAAAAAATTTCTCTTAGTATAAATTATATATGTCATTGTAGAAAGCAAGGAACTACCACAGTAAAGTAACTAGAAGAAATAAAAAGAACATCATCCTAGACAATTTTTTCAGTTTTCTTTCTTTCTTTCTTTCTTTCTTTTTTTTTTTTTTAAGAGATTTTCACTATAGGGTGCATACACTCACCAGACAGACAGAGAGACAGGGAGACAGAAAGTGAGAAATCACCCCCTGGGGGGATGGCCACACCTCAATCCCTTCTCCTCCATTCTCCTCTCGGGATCTTGGGCATGCATGCACACGCGCCTGGCGTGAGTTTAAGCCACTGGGTCCGGGATTTGAACTGCAGTTGACTACATGGGAGTCCAGCAACATAGCCATAGCCATTACTCTTTCTGCTGGTTCCAGACAGCACGTAGTTTTATATACTGACTTTTTTCACTTGACAGTACACACTGAAATTTCCTCCATGTCTTCTTGTAACGAGATAGCTCTTTCCTTTTTATTACTAAATAGTATTTTATTATATAGATATACCACAGTTTATCCATTCACCCATTAAAAGACAGTCTGGTTGCTTCATACTTTGGCAATTACAAATAAAGCTGGTCTATAAACATTTTTGCACAGTTTTTAGTGGGTATATAAACTTTGCATTTGCTTGTTTGGTAAATATTTAGGTGTCCACTTACTGGAACATATACTAAGGCTTTGTGTAAGTCCTTAAGAAATTGCCAAAGTTTTCCAAAGCGGCTGTATTGTTTTACATCCCACAGACAGGGATTGAAAGTTCCTGTTGCTCCATGCCAGCAATTGATGTTGTCATTGTTTGGGGTTTTAGTCATTTCAGTAGGTTAGTATAGCAATATCTCATGTTGATTTGCAGTTCCTTAATGACAGATGAGGTTGAACATCTCTTCGTGTGTTTACTTGCCATCTGTATATCTCTTTTGATAGGATATATGTTCAGATCTTTAGCCATCTTTGTAATTGTGGTGTTTGTCTTTTATTGAGCTTTAAGTAAGAGTTCTTTATGTAGTTTGGATGCAATTTTTTATTAGGTAGTTGTTTGCATATATTTTATCTGAGTGTGGCTTGTCTGCTTATTCTCTTTAGTGGTATGTTTTGCAGAACATAGGTTTTTAAAGGAGAACAACTTACCAGTTTTTTTTGTTTTTTTCTTCATGGATTGTGCTTTTGATGTTATATTTAAGAGTCATTGCTGGGGCTCACAGGAGTGGTGGTTAAGGCACTGGATTCCCATGTGGCTGACCCGTTTGCCTCCTGGCCCTGGTGGCTTGAAAATCATGCTGTGCATGTGTGTGTGTGTGCGCGTGCTCTGGATCCTGAGAAGAGAATGGAGAAGAAGAGATTGCAGTGTGGCCATTCCAGCCTCACCTCCCTGAAGATGATTTCTCACTTTCTATCTCTCCCTCTCCCTCCCACTCAGCACATGCATCCTATGGGGGAAAAAAGAAGTCATTGCAGATCCAGAGTCACCTAGATTCCTACGTTACTTCTGAAAAGCTTTATATAGCTTTGCATTTCCCATTTAAGTCTATGATATATTTTGAGTTGATTTTTGTGAGAAGTTAAGTCTTTGTAGGTTCGTTTTCTTTTGTGGATATCTAATTGTTCTAGCAGCACATTAACATGTATTTTTATTAAGAGAGAAATTATTGGACCACGTGTAGCTATGCGTGTTATCCTACCTGAATAAATAACAGTAAGCTTTTAAATGGGCCCAACAGTTTACAACACTAGTTTATGAAGTTTCTGCAAACACACCTTGACTGCCTTATTTTTATATCGGTCTTTTTAATTCCAAACATTCTCATAGGTGTGTGAAATTGTATTTCTTAGTCTTAACACGCATTCACTGTTGAGCAAATGCCTTGTTTTGTCTCCATGAGATTCCTCCTTCTGTTCTGTTTACTTACCCACTTTTTCTATTGGGGGCCTATCTCTATTTTGTTTGATTTATAGGAAGGCTTTACATATTCGAGATGTGAATCCTTTTGCCAGCTGTTTAATTGGCAAACCTTCAAGTCATAACTTCTGTTAGACTGGAGTCCCTGCACGGGGTGCTTGATTTCCCCCTCTGTGTTCATCTGTCACTGAGGACATGATGGCTGCTCCTGAGGGTTCTGAGGACCAGGGGGCGTAACACGCGCTAGAGCACCTCACCGGCTCTGGTTGGGCGGTGCAGGTGCCCACCCTACTTTGTGGCCGATGGTCTCAGTCTACATTAACGTGTCTTCACTCTTGTTTTCAGACCTTTCTTTCTAGCCCGAGACTACACCCTGTGGTAAGGGTTTCAAAAGTCCATTTAAATGACATGAATTCAATTTCTAGTAAAACTTTGATACAAAATGGTTTCGTTAGCAGAAATGACATTTACTATTTATGGCGGTTTCTTTCAGTTTGACTGTTATTAATGATACCTACCTTTGACTATTCCTGTAAAATATTTATGTTTATTTTACTAGGCAAAAAGGATAAGTTACGTGTCTACTATTTATCCTGGTTAAGAAATAAAATACTTCACAACGATCCAGAGGTTGAGAAGAAACAGGGGTGGACGACCGTGGGGGATTTGGAAGGCTGTGTACACTATAAAGTTGGTAAGTTCTAGGATGCTCTTATTTTTTTTTTTTTCTTTTTCTTTTTTGGAGATGGTTTTGCTATAGGTCATGTATGCTCATCAGAAGGACAGAGAGAGACAGAAAGTGAGAAATCACCCACCAGAGGGATGACCACGCCAAAATCCCTTTTCCTCCATTCTCTCGGGATCTTGGGCACACATGCATATGTGCCTGGCGTGAGTTTAAACCACCAGGTCCAGGACTTGAACTATGGCTGATTACATGGGAGTCCACTGACATACCCATTACGCCAACTTCTGATCCCTCTAGGATGTTCTTAAGTGGCTTGTTTTGCCAGGTTCAGTTTAAAATCCACATGTCCTTAGCTTTCCTAGTAAACTTGTCTCTGCAATATGGCTTGTCTCTGATATTCTGTTTCTAAAGCATCTTCTGATCTTGACGTCTGATTGTGAAGTCTCATCTAGACGTGTCTCACTACCTGTCTGCCCTGATACACGTCCAGTGGCGTTCGATGCTGTGGCTTGCCTTGTCCTGGGTCTCCCCTCACCATTCATCCTGTGAACGAGCCTTTTCTCCTTCCCTGTGACAGTCCCGTTTTGTTTTCTGTGAGACCTGACTCAGAGCACCCTCTTTGGGGAAGCCAGCGACGCAGATTGCTCCTTTATACTCCAGGCTTACTCTCCATTTAGGGGACGGTGGGTGCCCGGCAGCCACTGCGAGGATGCGTGGGAGTTTGACCCACAGAGTTACGGCTTGTTTTAAATCAAGTGCACGCAAAAGCTCCTGTGTCCTTTCCTGGTAAATGAGCCTGTCTGGCCGTCAGTTTGGTGGCAGCTGTAGCTTTTTTTTTTTGGCATGCATTTAGTGATCATCATGAAGGAAAATCACAAAGGGACAGGACCAACGCAGTGTTTTGAATGTAAAAATATATATCAAAATACTGGTACCAATGTTAGAAATAAAGGGGGAAATAGCAGTTCTTAGCTATTATTAAATTTTACGAGAGATGCTGTATTCATAAAATTTGCAACATGAACTTATTTTATATACGTAAGACTGATTTCTGTTTGGGACTTGTTGAATGTTGATTTCTGCCTCTGTGTGTGCGTGTGTGTGTTTCTCTGTTTATGAAAGTATTTTCTATAGTCAGTTCCTCTGCTCCCGGGGATCTTATAATCCTCGACATTGACTTGTTTCTGGAGTCCGTTTGCATCTCTTACTTGGCGCGTTGATTAGTAATCATTACAGACGCCACCTCATTTGGGATGATCTGAATGACCCTGGAAAGCAATACTGTCTCTTTTCATATAGATCTTGGGGTTAAGATTTTCTGTGTTGTGTTCATGTGAGTTATTTTTATCTGTTGAGGAATAACTAAAACCATCCACGTCTAACTGCAATGAAGCAGCTGTAATAGCTGCTCTGTACTTGAGCAGACTATCCTACAGGGGGAGCTAGAGGCAGGCATTTTAGCTTGTTCTGAGTTCTTCATCAGAAGGAAGCGGTACAGTCTTCATGGCTGTCATTCTTACAAAAGGAATTACAAGTGTTTTCTGGAGGAAAGAGTAGGTAATACCATTCATTTGTTATCTTTATAGATGCGACAAGAACCAAGGGGCTTTTTAAAGTATATTGAAAGTAACTAAAATGAAGTAAACCTTGAAATTTAATTCTTTGTGGCAGTAGTACATGCTAAGTACCCAGTAGCCACATGTGTCTGGAGGCCATTGGATTAGCAGTCCAGATGGAAATCATTTCTATCATTACAGAGAATTCTACCAAGCAGTGCTAGTTTAGACAGCCTCTTCTGATCCGTTGTCTCTTAGTAATGTCAGTGGTGATGTGAAGGATGAAAATGCATGGAGTTTAAAAAGGTGAGTTATCAAATTAGCAAGTCCACCTGCGCAGAGGGCAGTAGAACTGTGGGTTAGGCAGCTTATAAAGAGACCATGGATCGGCATCAGGCTGGTAGGTCACATGTGGTCAGGGACCGCTCCGAGAAGCTGTGTTTTGTTTTTTTTTTAAGAGGTTTTTGCCTTAGGGAATGTGAGAGAGACAGACAGACAGATAGACAAAGTGAGAGGGAAAGTGAGAAATCATCCCCAGGGGGATGGCCACACAGCAATGCCTTCTCTTCCATTCTCCTCCCAGGATCTTGGGTGCGCGCGCGCGCGCGCGCGCGCGCACACACACACACACACTTGTGTGAGTTTCAAGACACCAGGTCCAGGACTTGAACCATGGTCAGCATGTGGGAGTCCAGTGATGTAACCGCTATGCCATCAGCTGGCTCACAAGCAGTTGTTTTAAGCAGAGTTGCTCGGCTGTAAGGGAACCAGAACATGCATTGAAATAAGGCGGTTTCTTTGTTTTAATAGCATACACTAGATTTATTTTACTGCTCCTCTTCTGGTGTAGAACTTTAGGTAGAATCCGAGAAATTACTGCCTCTGTGGATCAGGAAAAGGTCTGGAATGATACTGGAGTTTGTGCATAGACACTTCTTTCTACTGATAGAATTTGAGACTGAAGTGAATGTATTTTATTAGCCTTTTGTGTTTTTCACACTGTGTGGGCCTGATGTAGAACTTGGGAAATCTCCATGGAAGATCTTGAACTCTCTGACTTAGGAGGCTGTTGGTTGATTAATCACATCGTATCTTTTTTTCTTTTTCTTAAGAGACATTTTTGCTATAGGGTACTTGTGCTCACCAGAGAGACAGAGAGAGACAGAAAGTGAGAAATCATGCCTCAGAGGGGATGGCCACACTGCAATCTATTTTCCTCTCAGGATTTTAAGCATACACAAATGCCCAGTGTGAGTTGTAAGCTGCCAGGTCCAGGATTTGAACCGTAGTTGACCATGTGGGAGTTCCGCGATGTAATCATGATGCCATCTGCTGGTCTCCATCATTATCCTTCTGAAATAACACAGCCTCCGACACTGTAGGCGGTCTTTGCATCATCAAGGATTATAAACCATTTGGAATTTAAGAACTTTAGCAACATTAGTGAAAGTACTCACTGGCAGTACCCAGAGTATTGGAGTTGAACCTAAAGTACTCTCAGTAGAGACGGGAGCAGTGGGTTAGACAGCAGACAACTGCAAGAGGAAGCTGGGAGACTCAATCCGACCCACTGTGCACTTTTCCCTTACTGCTGTGGATAAATTATAGAAGGCATTTCTAAAGTTTGCAGATAAAAACTAAAAGTTCCATATTGATGCTGACCTGTGCTTCTCTTGCTTTTTATGTTTATCTTTTTTGTTGTTGTTATCTTCTTTTCCCAGTAAAATATGAAAGAATCAAGTTTCTGGTAATTGCGTTGAAGAGTTCTGTGGAAGTCTATGCGTGGGCACCCAAGCCATATCACAAATTCATGGCCTTTAAGGTAATAACCTCAATTGCATCTAAAAGGTCTAAAAGGAGCATTAGCCGAACAAGTAGGACTAAGCCCCTGGGGAAGATGTGAGCAGTTAAGGCTGATGGTGTAAAAGCTGTATGCTAACATGGCGTATCACCGTGTAGAGGGGCCACGTGTGTGTGTGTGTGTGTGTGTGTGTGTGTGTGCACTTGCTAGAGAGTGTCAGGGAAAGACACAGGGAAAGTGAGAAATCACCCCCTAGAGGGGATGGCCATGCCATAATCCCTCCTAGGATTTTGGATATGTATGTACATGTGCCTGATGTGATTTTCAAGCCACCAGGTCTGAGACTCGAACCAGTAGGCCATGTAGGAGTCCAGCACCTTAACCACCTGCTGGCCCCAGAGAGGCCACTTCTAACATAATGGAAAATGCCTAGTTATTGTCTTTCCAAGCCGTTAGAGTGTAAGGAGGAGAGGAGCCCTTTGGTCATTGTGCCGAGGTGGGAGCCGAGGAAAAACCACAGAGGAAAGGCAGGACATCACCACTTCCATGGCCATTTAAAACGGAGGCCCTCGCCTAAGGTCATGGATGTGGATAAAGGTCTACATGTGCATTCAGTAACAAAAGTGTCCAAAGATGAGCAGTCCCAAAGTGGATCTATCCAAAAGAGCACTAAATAAAAATGAATTGCGAAAGTGTATCACAGGGATATGTATTATACATTGAGTGGAAAACACAAATTACAAATGGATGTAATATGATCCCATTTTGTTTACGTTAAAAAAGCGTAGAAAGAATATTCAAGCTAATGTATATTCCGGGGTGGTTTTTACCGTTTTGTGTGTGCACAGCTTGAGGAAAGTAAATGAATGGGCACTTTGCTTTAAAATTAGTATTGTTTTTGTGAGTTCACACATATACTCATGTTAATTGTGGATGGAAGTCTGCCTCACTGTACCTGGTTTCTAAAACGTTGGGAGTAAAACTGTTTTTTAGTAAAAATTAGTATTCTTTAATATATTTAAATCAAGTTGATCTTTACTTGCCCCTCCCCCACAAAAAAAACAACTTGTAAAAGATTAGTACTCATTTACTGAGGATATTTTAATATCAATATTAACTAATATTAACATCAATATTAGTTAATATTGATGTTAAAATTAATGTTTAATATTTTGACATTTATTCTAGATTTTGCACTAAATACAGATTTATCAAATTCTTAATTGAAATTGATATTCTGACATTAGCTATTAGGAGCGATTTGCTACCATTGCTAATGTAGACACAAAACCTGGGGCTATTTTAGGGAAGCTGAAAAAGTTAAGAATTTCCTATGATGAAAGTGTACTTTTTTATTTTTAGAAATAATTTTGATACATTTTTATTGGAAGGGGAAGTTTCAGTCCTTGGGAAGAGTTATATTATTGAATTGCTTGTTACTTGATTTCCCAATAAGCCAGATAAATTGGGTTACTATATTGTTTAAAAAATAAACCCAAGTGTTATTGAATAACTAGTTATCAAATTATGTTATCTTGTATGGTCTGGTTTCAATATCCTTCATGTACCTGGTTCTGTACTAGTTGCTTTTATAAATACCATCTTGCTGAAGTCTGTTCTGTGTTGTCGTCATCTCTGCTCCTGAGCTGTGGGTGTTGCTTGTTACAGAGAACCAAAGAACTGAGGCTGTCCAGGATGCTGCAGGTGCTGCAGTGCATTGCACTCTTGGCTCTTCATACCAAACTAGTAGCACATTAAAAGTACAAGTCTTAATTCGCTCAAGTAGTGACTTGGGTAACACTGATAAAATTCTCAGTATGTGACTCTCAGCTCCTCCTCCTGCTCAGTGTCTGCATTTGAAGAGTCCAATAGTGTATGCGACCTGAGTCCTTGTCGTTTAACTTTACATGTCTTTCTGAGCAAGACACACAGCAGGCATGACAGCAGAGTTCTTGGGCTGGGTTGGGGAGATTGGAGCAATAGCTCTGCAAGAAATACCTTCCATATGCTAATCACTAGACAAAAGCATATGAATGCGTATCGTATCGTAAGTATCCTTGCCCGGGCTGTTGCCAGTGTGGTGCAGTGATTGTGACTGGGTTCCTTGGCGTCTGGCTTCTCTAGCCGGGTCTGCTAGAAGTAAGTTGTACTTCATCCTGCTGCTTCTCTTGGTTTCTCTTTGTAGTCATTTGGAGAATTGGTACATAAGCCATTACTGGTGGATCTCACTGTTGAGGAGGGCCAGAGGTTGAAAGTGATCTATGGGTCCTGTGCTGGATTCCATGCTGTTGATGTGGATTCAGGATCAGTCTATGACATTTATCTACCAACACACGTAAGAAAGAACCCACACTCTATGGTTGGTTGACTGGCTTCATTTTGTTTTGACTGTTTTCTTTACTCTGCTTAGTGAACTAACACAAGCAGGGATTCCTCATTTCCCCCTGGTGTGGGGGTGAGTATTTACGTGCTGTGCCATTGCCATAGCTCTGTGCTCTGAGACAAGTGGGAATCACTCTTGGGGCTCTGTGAAGCCTCCCTGAAAACCTCCTAGCCCCCGCTTTGACTAACATGGGATGGGGTTGGGGTGGTTGCTGGCAGGCCTGAGTATCCCTGGGTTGGGAGTGGTTCTCAAATAGATCCCACCATCCGAACATGTTCTGGGGGCCTCCGAACATGTGAGTCATCATAGAGTATATGACCTGTCCAGGGTCGACTTGGGAATAGCTCACAAAGTGCTGTCTAATTGCTGTATTTATCACTGGGGATTTGGTACCAGTGCATTCACTGAGTTGTGCTGAACAGTGGCACAGGACTGGGGAGCGCCTCAAACATGTCTCTCTGCACTTTGTCCCTCTTCTGCAGATCCAGTGTAGCATCAAACCCCACGCGATCATCATCCTCCCCAACACAGATGGCATGGAGCTCCTGGTGTGCTACGAGGACGAGGGGGTCTATGTGAACACGTATGGGAGGATCACCAAGGACGTGGTCCTGCAGTGGGGGGAGATGCCAACGTCTGTAGGTACGCAGGGCCGGGAAGAGGCAGCGTTTTTGACACCGGAGCCTTCTCTAAGACTGGATATGTTCATCACACTCATCTTGTGTGTCCTTCCGACCATGTGGTTACCTAATGCAGTGGTTGGCAATAGATGGTGAAAAGTTAGGTTGCAGAATAACCTAGGTCTATTTTAGAATAAAACTCAAATCATTATACTTTTTTATTCATCCTTTTTTTTTTTAAGAATTTTTAATTTAATTTATTATTATTATTTTTTCAATTTGCTACAAGGCATGTGTACTCACCAGAGAGGGATAGAGAGAGAAAAGAGGGGAAATGAGAAAGCAAGCTACCAGGTCTGGGACTCGAACCATGGTTGGCCATGAGGGAATCCAGTGCCCCAACCACCACACCACCCACAGGTCCTCATTATACTTTTTAAAAGTGTCTCACTTAATCCTTAAAACACTCAGAGGAAAATAGGGCAGGCATTTTTGTTGGCCAGTTTATGGCAAATGAAGGGAGGTAGAGACGGAATTGGCTCTTGAGGGTGGCAGGACCACCACTGGAAGCACAGCCTCAGACCCGTCTGGTTTGCATTCAGGAATAAAGGCCGATGTTGTACGTTTTCATGGCTTTGTATTTATATTCCAAAATTACTTTGGTTTTATTGCAGTGAACTTACTGTCCCTGCCTGCTCGTTAATTTCTTCCCCTGCCTTCTCTCATGGCTGCATTCATGAAATTACACACGCTAAACTCTAAACCCAGCAGGTCATTTCACAAGATAACATTTAAATGAATAGCTCAGGGAAACGAATAGCTTCAACCATTGACTCAAATTACTACTAGGGTTATGAAGGCAGAGTTCCTTAAAAGAAAAAATCGGTAAATCCTAGGCTCTTAATGTGTCAGTCACTCAGTGGCGACATTTTTTGAAGACTGTTTCCTGATTGATGGTTCCTATTTTCCCTTCCTTAAAGCATATATTCGATCCAACCAGACAATGGGCTGGGGAGAGAAGGCCATCGAGATCCGCTCTGTGGAAACCGGTCACTTGGATGGTGTGTTTATGCACAAGAGGGCGCAGAGACTAAAGTTCTTGTGTGAACGCAACGACAAGGTACAGGGTCTTTACGGCTACTGTGCAGGTGCTGCTGTCTTTCAGCAGTGCTGTAGTTTCTGGGAGTGTGGTGATGAATTCCCTTGGAGTTTGATGGATTCTGAAATAAACTCTGAGAACTTTTTGAGCATTGTTTTTTAGATATATCTGTGGGGATTGGATGTGTTGTATTTTGTTCTTTGCTGTAAGGAGATGGAGGTGTTTGTCCCTGTAGCAATTGTCCTGTGTTGGGTTTTATGGATTGTGTTATAGCCCCATGGGTGGCCTGTCTGGGCCCTGTTTGGTTAGGGATGGGAGGAATTAAAGATGCCAAGATTGGGATAGCAAGAGTAAAGCTTCCCATTTAGCTGGGTGAGATTCTTTCACGAATTAAAGGAACCACCTGTGCAGTTTGGGTAGGGCCAGAGGTTCCTCTGCTCCGATGTGTGTCAGGAAGACACCACTGGAGTTGCTTGTGGAGCTGGAAGAGCATCCCCGATGGGAGTGCCGAGTCAGAATGCTCAGCGTAGAAATCGACTTATGGGGGAGCTCCACACCTCCTGCACTTGGACCCTCGGGCATTAAAGCCCCTTTGTTTTGCAAATCTGATCACATCCCTGTCTTCTCCAGGTGCTTCTCACCCCTAGGAGCTCCTCTTCAGAGCAGGGCGCCAGGAGATGGTGCAGGGCACTGGCCCCCAGCTGCTGTGGAAGGCTGTGGAGGGTGGGATGGCTCCACTCCCAGACCTATTATCTTGAAAACTGACACATCTCAAATTGAAACTGGGATTTTGTCAACTTTGTGGGTTTTGTTTTCCTAAGTTTATTTAATGTAGCTGTAACTATAGCATTCTCTTTTTTTCTTTTTTAAGAGCAATTTTTGCTATAGGAGGTGTGTACTTACTGTAGAGACAGAGAGACAGAAAAGAAGAAATCACTACCCCTTCCCCCAGGTGGGGGGATGGCCGTGCTGCAGTCCCTTCTCCTCCATTCTCCTCTAGGGATCTTGGGCACACTTGCACATGCACCCAGTGTGAGTTTGAAGCCACCGGGTCTGGGACTTGAACTGCAGTTGACCATGTGGAATCCAGCAACGTAACCCTTCCATCTGCTGGTCCCGTCAATAGCGTTCTTTTAAAATGAGAGAAAGTAGGTTGCTTCACTGTTGCACATATGGTCTTTGTCGGATATGCTGAACTTTTAGAAAGCATTAGCAGTAAAAGTAGGGAGAAATAGCCCAATCTGAGAAACATCAGTCCCAGTTACCGAGGCTTGATTGTTATCAGAAATATCACTCTTTACAGTGATAAATCGACAGAGCTTCTCTTGGGAAGGTGTGTGGGGTGGACCTAAGCGTCCTGTACAGCATGTTGGCGGGGGTGGCGGCTTAAGTCCCCTCCCCAGAACAGCAGGAAGCCCTGCTCCCCAGGAGGCAGTGGGTGGCCATGTAACCGTACTCTGCCCTGCTCTTGCTTCCTCAGGTGTTCTTCGCCTCTGTTCGGTCTGGCGGCAGCAGTCAGGTTTACTTCATGACCTTGGGCAGGACTTCTCTGCTGAGCTGGTAAAGGCAGCGCGATCCGGGGATTTGCTGGCCTCCAGAGTCTTCAAGATCCTGAGAACTTGGAATTCCTTGCAACTGGAGCTCAGAGCTGCACGGCGCAGCAGGACAGCTGTGTGCAGACCTCACGTGTGGGGTTCCCTCCCTCCCTCCCCTCCTCTTTACCAGTTTATCCCCATTCTCTTCTTTCCCTTACTCAAAAATAAATCAAGGCTGCAATGCAGCTGGTGCTGTTCAGATTCTACCATCAGGTGCTATAAGTGTTTGGGATTGAGCGTCAGAGCGGAAAGCAAACACCTTTCCTGCAGCTCCAGAATTCCTTGTCTCTGAGCGGCTCTGTTTGTGGTGTCTGAGCACGGCAGGGTGCACGTGCGGCCGGCGGCGTTGGCAGTGGGCACGAGCAGGTGGCAGTGGTGGTATGAGGAGCAGTTTGCCGAAGCAGAGAGCAGATTTACTATAGTAACATTAACAGTGTATTTAATTGACATTTCTTTTTTGTAATGTGACAATATGTGGACAAAGAAGAAGGTGCAGGTTTAAGAAGTTAATATTTATAAAATGTGAAAGACACAGTTACTAGGATAACTTTTTTGTGGGTGGGGCTTGGGAGGCCGGGTGGGAGGGCTAAGGGGTCTCGTTTTGTTTCTTTTGATTTGGGGCGTGGGGTGGGGTCCTGGCCAAGAACTCAGTCATTTTTCTGTGTACCAGGTTTTGCCTAAATCATGTGCAGATGGTTCTTAAAAAAAAAAAGAAAAAAAAAGAAAAAAAGAAAAAGAAAATGTGTGCGTTTTGTATAATGGCCAGAACTTTGTTGTGTGACAGTATTAGCACTGCCTCAGTTAAAGGTTTAATTTTTGTTTAAACCTAGAAGTGCAACAACAGTTTTACCACGGTCTGCATTTGCAGAAGGAAAAAAAAATTCAAACCATGTTTATTTTTTGCCTACCTCATTGTTTTTAATGCATTGAGAGGTGATTTAGTTTATATGTTTTTGGAGAAAACCAGTAATGTTTAATTTAATCTTAATACCAAAACTATCCGATCGAAGTTTGACTGTTATTTTGTCACAAGTCTCAGCAGGCACAAGAAAACTGTCTAAGAAGATGGAAGCCGCCTTCCAGCTGATGCAGTTTGCTCTCTTAAGTTGAGAAAGCAGAATGCTTCGTGGTCACCGGGTGCACCAGCGGGCACCGGGGTGGCGATGGCCTACAACACGCAGGGTCTCATTGCTCTCGATTCGCTGTTGGTAGCAGACAGGTGGTCAGGTAGAATAGTCACACAAACTGTTCAGTGTTGCAGGAACCTTTTCTGGGGGTTGGGGGTGTTGCCCTTTTCTAAAAATGCAATGCACTAAAACTATTTTAAGAATGTAGTTAATTCTGCTTCTTCATGAAGACGGCATCTTCCTGTGTTTTAGGTGTAATATCAAAGCCCCGGCTTTCCTTGTTTTCTCACTTACTCTCTCGTTCTCTGTTTTTTGAACCAGTTTTCCTTTATGACTCTGTTCATGACATTTGTAATAAATGTCTTGAGTAATAATCTGTTTCATGGCTTCATGGTCATCACTCGATTCCGCTCAGACGAGCGTCCTGGTCCAGGAGCGGGGCTCGTCGGCTGTGCCTTTCCTTTGTTGGTGCTGAGTGGGAGTGTTGGGTAGGGGCTGCTTCTGACTCCACTCACCAAACAGCAGCATGGTGTCTTAGAGGCTGACTCTTCCTCTCCTGCAGTTCGGTTTCTGTAACAGCATGAAAACGAGGGCTTGTGCTCTGTTTCCCCCAAAACGGAGCCGTCATGCACCCCCACTTGCAAGGTGTTGCCAACCTCCCCGTGCCCTTCAGCCTGTGTTCTGACTGCTCTTATTCTCTTCTTCCTGGCTCAGTGTTTTTGCCAAAACCTGCTGTCCTTTGAACTATACGAACCTAGTAAAACAATAAATTAAAAATACATATACTCACACAGCCGGCTGTGCACGCCCACAGAGACAACTGGAGAAAGCGAGACTTTCTTTTGCCAGGGAGGTGAAAGTGGGTTTTCCATCTGTATGACTTGGAGTACGCTTATGGCTAGAACAGACTGAACCAGCTCTTTCCAGAGAAGGTGGGAGAGTTAATCCCTCCTTTGAAAGGGACTCGAGCTAGGCCAATTCCATTGCCACAGGACCTGAGTCAGAGTCAGGCTCCTACTGGCTATTTCCTGTCCACGTTTAAGCTTTTGTAAGATGCAGCCTGTCACAGCAAGCATGTGTGTGTGTGCGTGTGTATGCCCACACGTGTGCAAGAGGGCAAACAGTGGCCAGGTAGTCATGGCGCCTTCCCTGGCCGTAGAGCAGTGGAAGGGGGGGTGGGGTGAGGGTCTTCTAGGGGACACTACACACCTGGGAGACTACACACCCAGTGCCTGTAAGGAAGAAGCAGGTGACCGAGGGTACGTCCTCACAGCTCCCCAGACCTGAGCCCAGCGTGAGCCCCGCGGCGTTTGCCCATAACACCGGTGGCGTGTCGTCAGAATCACTCGGTATTCAGCACTTTCCTGAAGAGGGTGTGTGAGTGGCATCTGAGCCCCAGTCGTGTGATTCCTGTCGGGCCAGGCACCTCATGCCCCTCTCCTGGTGTTTCGAGTGGGACTGAAGCCGCTGCTGGGCTTCCTCGGTGGAAGTCAGCATCTGGCCTGGGGGGTTCCTGATGTGCACCTCACTGGGTTGTCCTCCTCCCATCCCCTCTTGGCACTGTCACCTCTTAAACCTGATGGAATTGCTCCGGATCGAGGCTGGTGTCTGGTGAGATTTCTCCATAAGATGCTGTGAGCTGCTGACATTTCAGATACATTTGGGAAGAGATGATTGTTCCTGTCTGCGGGGCCGTGACCTCTCTGCAGACCTGCCGACAGTGGCAGAACCACAGAAGCAGCCAGCATCACAGTGACACCATGATGTTTGGAGTGTCAGACTCAGCAGTGCCCTTCGAAATGCAACACCAGTAGGCCTCTGGCTGGAGTCAAAGCTTTAATTAAGTCATACCTTTCTGTATTTAAAGCAGAGTAACTTCTGTGTTGAGCGCAGTGTTTTTACTTTTTTTCTCTTGCACATGTTATGTTGGAGAAAATGTTTACAAAAATGGTTTTGTTACACTAATGTGCATCCCATATTTATGGTTTTTAAGTGACCTGTTATGGGGGATGTAGATTTTCGTCTTAGTTCCAGCACACTTACTGGTCATTCATAATCCTTAGTTTTGCCAATTATAAATTTGCTAAACAGTAATACAGTTGACAACCTGCGTTAAATTTACTAATCAGTGCTGCAGAGCAGACTGGTGGCGAGTCCACAGCCCTCTTTTCCCCCAAGTACTAACTTGTCTACTGTGTATTATGAAAATTACTGTTGTGCCCCTGGCCCCTTTTTTCCCCTTAAATAAAGTAAAAGTGACGCTTCCTGTGACACGTGTTTCAAATGTGTTTTGTCTCTTCAGCCTGATTCCTCCCGTGAGGATCTGTTCTCTGCATGCAGCCCCTTCCCTGAGCCCCCAGGCCAGAGCAGGCCCCCCTGTGCTGTCTCCAAGGACAGGGCCTTGCACAGGGACCTCCAGGCACACAGATTATGAAAGGAGCAAATGTTAGTCCAAAGATCCCAGAGGTGAGACAGTGATGAGTTCACCACCACCACATTCCTGGAGCCTTCTCAGAGTAAAGTTCACCCTTGAGGAAGAAGTAGGTTGGATCTTTGCAGGTCTGACTTGGATCCCAAAGCGAAGCAGCACCATCTGTACCTTGTGGACAGTTACAGTAGCAGTTTCTCCATTTGACACCTAAATGCAAAGTTGAGTCTAACGACTGGGGCTCCCTCGGTGAGGAAGGTCACTGGCTAAATGCTGGGTGCCCCATCAATCCCTCCTGGATGTGGACAGCCCTGGGGATGCACGCAAGGTCAGCACCTGCCTAAGCCGTAGGGGCTACTAATGCTACATTGCCCGTTGAATTCCACTAACGAATTCCTTCCCATGTCTGGGTAGAAACACATTATTTCTCGAAGGCGAGAATGAAGCTACCCAGGCTGCCAGATAAGTGATTATTTTTCTGGTGAATGTTCATTGCAGGTGGTATATGACTAAGAATCAGATCCGTGGTGTTCAGTGAGAGTGTCATGCTTCTGCCCTGTGCTGGTTCAGACCTCACTTCATGGAGGCCGCGAGGACCCATTCAGCCTCGGCTGCCAGCCCCAGCTCTGTTTTAGCGCCACTGTCGTGATACAGGAAAACGTTCAAGGATACAGTAACATTAATCTCTCTGCTGTCTACCACTTAATAAAAAAATGTTCATGCTTCACGTTAGAAGCAGATGGTGTGTGGTGCTAGCAGGTGGTGTGGTGGTTAAGGCACTGGACTCCTACATGGTTGACCATAGTTCAAGTCCCAGATTTGGCAGCTTGAAACACATGCCAGACTCGTGTGTGCGTGCCCAAAATCCTGAGAGGAGAATGGAGAAGTAATTGTGAGGCCACCCCTCCAGGAGGTGACTTCCCAGTTTCTGTCTCTCCAGAGAGAGTGCATGTACCTAATACCAAAAAAAAAAAAAAGAGAAGAATGGTTAAGGAGTTCACAGTTGAACAAGCAGTTCCTACATTTTATTCGGAGAGAAGCAATGTGTCAGATGTAAGGTTCTCGCACCTGGCCGGCCTACCTCTTGCTTCATCTTAAAGTCATCATACCGTGTCCATGTTTCAAGCTCTTCCCAGAACTACCCCCTCTGCCTGCGCCCTGCCCACTGCTCTGCATGTCCTGTTCTGTTACCTGCTGACTTGGTGTGGCCTTGTCTTGCTCACTTCTCCTGTCCGGATACCAAGCCTGTGAGCGAGCTGAGATGGTTTCTCAGAGTCAGCAGGCGCTCATGAAATCCGAACCCTGCTCTGCCCTGAGACAGCTGAGCACCAAACCTTGTGCTGACAGAAGTGGATGCCCGGGTCCCCTGGTGGTTTGCTTGTGAGGCATGAAGTAAAACTTCCTGTTTAATCCAAAGGGCAACCAGCTCTCCTTGCGTGGTGGGGTGGGTGGGGGAGAGCAGCATCCAGCCAGGTCCTGGAGGGGCTGCCCGAGTTGCCCACCTGGACCCAAGGTTCCTGAGCCCAGTCTAGTCTAGCTGGTTCTGAGGGATTTGAGTCAGATGTTCTAGGACGAGATGAGCCTTATTCTGTCTTGGTTATGGTGTAAAGTTCCAGCGAGGTGCCAGGGCGCCCATGGATGGTGCTGTGGAGGGAGCTGTGGCGGGGCAGTCCTGTTCTTAAATGTGCTTGGATGCTAGACAGCTCCAGGCCTGGGGACTGAGCCTGTCAAGCAGCAGCTACACAATGAATGACACGACCTCTCCCTTGGTGATCCTGTGGCAGCTTGATCGGGGCAGGATTCCCCTAGCATACCATGTACCGTCTGAAGTCCAGAGCAGGGGCCTTTATTCAGGGCCGTGCATCACTGAGACCGTTTGTAAACTTTGTTTTACCTCAGGAATGGACCTTGCACCCTTTCACCGTTGTCTCCCCGTCTCCCCTAGCTTCAGGCCGCCACTGATGGAGCTCTTGTCTCTGGATTTGCGCTCCAGGACGTCGTGCAGACAGGGAAGCCCTCGCTGCCTGCGTGGATGGCTCGTGTTGGTCCACGTTGTACCACACGTCTGTGCTGCTTTCTGCTGGCATCCGGACCCAGTGTGTGTCTCTAGTGCCTGCCTTCCGCTGTAGAGCCAGCTCCCTCATGGAAGCCAGCCAAGGTCCCCAGCCTTGTGCGATACTGGAGTTAACTTTTCCGGCTTGGGGGAAGTGAATGACTCCCATACTGAGCTGCGTTTTCAGTTTGAGCTCTCGGAAACCCAGTCTCCCTCCTACCCGTGAACAATCTTTGTGTTCACACAGGCTCATTGCGGTCAGGTCTGAGGGGTCACATGGGATGGGGCACAGTCGTGGGGTCTGCAGACACAGGCTCCACTGGCCATGGAGAACAGGTATGGGTCAGACCTGGTGGGCTTCCTTGTGCCCAAGGCCTAAGGCCAGGGACGCAGGTTGTTACCCTAAACTTAAACGTGCTTGCACCTGGGACGAAAGGCCTTGCTGAGCTGAGATCTTTTTCTTGGAGCAAATACGTGCATTTGTCTCGGTTCATAAGGGACTTGTCCTGTTGGCGCCTTGTGCATATCTTACTGGCATCAGGGTAATGACCTCCATGTGGCCTCCTGGAAAGGCCTAGTTATCCCTGCAACCTTCCCTTGCAGGGTACATGGTTGAGCAAGTGTGAACACTAGTACACTTCTGGGAACTTGGCATTTTGGTCACTGTAACAAATTGAGTAACTGCTGTGTGCTGAGCGCAGTCCTGAGGTGCAGCGCTGCTGTTGGGGGCCGCAGAGGGGCTCACGGCAGGCTCACTGCTGCAGCCTTAGGGTGCTCTTGATGTGCGAGCCCAGGGAGCAGCAGCCGTGGAGAGGAGCGACGCTTTTTAGCTCAACAGCACGTAGCTGCCAAGAAAGCTGGTGTGTGAGCTTGGCCTGCGTGGATAAGGCCGTGAAGTGGAAGAGGACACCCCCACTGCGGTCGGTCACACTCCAGTGCACTCGCAGTGGGATCTAGACCAGCTGCAGCCCTGTCATGGGAGGGACGCAGCTACAGAGGGCTCCCCCGAGGTCCAGGGAGCTGGGAGGAGACAGCAACTATTAGAGTAGAAGTGATGTAAACCTCCAAAGGCCATTTCGCCGGTCAGCCCGTCCTGCTTTGTATCAGCGAGGATGACGGAGGATTTTGAAGTCCTGCTCTGCTCCAGGCATCATGCTGAGGACTTGTACACGCCCCCTTAGCCTGTAGGAGGCGGCCCGGGGACCCACTTGTTAATGAAGGGGCCAAGCAGTAGAGCTGGGAAGAGCGAGGTGAGAACAGGAAATGCGTCTGCCCCCTGTGTGACGGGGACCGTCAGAATTGGGCAAGAGGATGAAACATGCACCCTGAGTGGCTGCCCGTGCCCGGTGAGGCGGGCTTTGCTGGGATGTAGAGGGCCTGAGACCCTTCAATGCCATCTGACTGCCGGCCTTCGGGTGGGTTGGGACTAGCCTATACACGGGTGGGATAGTCCACGTGCCATTTGGGAACATTTCTGAACGCACTTACAGAATGGCTTTGGTATTCTTTGTAAACAGGAATGGACTTTTGAGCAGGTAAGTATCAGGGCACGGTGGGAAAAGCATCTCTGTTAGGAATCCCGAAGACTTTCCCTCGGCAGAGAATGGCAGGTCCTGCTGGACCTGACTGGGACCGGGTGCAATTGCTCTGCGTCCGCCCTGGGAGCTTTCCTCACTTGGCCAACCTCTAGGTTGCAAAGAGGAATAACTGTGACTTCCCAGAGCTGAGACCCTCTGATTCGATTTCCAAACTTAAATGTGGAACGCCAATATGTAAATCAGATTAAAGAAGTACTACTGTAAATTTTAAGTTCAAGTTTGTAATGTTCAAAGGTCAAGCAATGAGAACAGATAGATACCTCTTTGCAGGGTTCAAAGTGTGCACTATCTGTCAATGTCATTATCAAATTTTGTTTGTTTCTAATTCTTTAATATGATGCCCACAGGTATATGATCACAGTTTTCATACAGCAAAATAAAAACCTAAACATATAAGATGTCAACAATCTTGAGATACTTTTTAGTCATTCGAGGGAAACAGGAGTTCTTGTTCATTTTTTCTTCTTCTTTCTCTCTCTCTCTCTCCCCTTCCTCCCTTCCTTCCTTCCTTCCTTCCTTCCTTCCTTCCTTCCTTCCTTCCTTCTTTCCTTCCTTCCTTCTTTTTAAGAGAGATTTTTGCTATAGGGCATGTCCACTTACTGAAGAGACAGAGAGACTGAAAACGAGAGGGAGGGAAAAAAAAACCATAGGGGATGGTCATGCTGCAATTCCTTTTCCTCTTGGGATTTTGGGCATGCACTCACATGATCCTGGCCTGAGTTTCAAGCTGCCAGATCTGGGACTTGAACTATGGTTGGCCATGTGGGAGTTCAGCAACATAATCATTATGCTATCTGCTGGTCTTGGGAGAAGCTTTCAAGATGTGCACAAATGTAACGCATTGGCAACGAGTGTTGTTTTCGTTCCTGTCTAGTATAAGATACACATTTGATTGTGCATAGTTAAAATTTTTAATATAGTTCACTTAACATACTCCAAATATTTCAACATGTAATCAATTTTAAAAATGGAGTAGCTTATATTCTCTTTTTCATACTAAGACTTTGAAATCTGGTGTTATTTCATACAACACGACTGGGTTCTCACTGGTCACAGGCGGCTAGTGGTTACCATTCTGCTAGATGCTTTGTTTCTTACGATGATTAATGGAGGTGACCATGTAGAATCCAGCACCCCAACCACCATGCCACCTGCTGTCCCTTAAACAACTCTTTAAAATCAACT